ATTTTTGAAAAAAATTCCACGGATTCCTCATTTTATGTTGACCGCAGTACAAGATACCTACGTGTTAAGATTTCTTTAAACATCGAAATATAAAAACTAAACAATGTAATACGTTGTACGTATCAATTGTCAATCAAATAATACCGATGTGCTGAAGCAGGAGGCCACGCCGGTATTTAGTTAAAATTGCCGTAAGCCAAGGTGCTTTATTTGTTTCCATGGTTACTGACGCTATTACGCTTGCATTTCGCGAGCAGAGAACTGAAAAGTTGAAACAGATTCAACTTTTCAGCTTGCAACTCGCGCCGGACTGATTTTGCTTGCGTTTCGCTCGCGTTTCGCTCGCGTTTTCCGAGCGGGATCCGGCGTGATTTCGCGCGTAAAAGCGAGACGACCTGCGTGTTGGGAGCTGAAAATGCCATGCATTGCAATGGGAGAAGCGAGACGCGATTTGCGAGCTGAAAAGCTGTGTTCCGGCCTTAAGGGCCATCAGGAAGGAATCATTGACAACTGAATTTGAAAGCCTCGGGAAGTTGGCAAACCGTCCGGTACCGCAATTCGGATGATCAGGAAAATTAGAGTTCAGGGATGCATTAGGTATGCATTGGTATTTATGGATGCTGTTATGAATTGAAGTCAATGTAAGTTACACTGACACAACATGATAAAGTGTGTCGATTGTGTGTACACAGAGGTAGACTATTCCCTCGTGTAAATCACCGTTTACAAAAAAAAAATGACATTTATTGCATCACTCCTCGATTGGATTCACAAAGCACACGGAACGATACCGACAGTTAAACCAAGGCTGAAGCCTTGATATGTTACAAGAGGCTGCTTAGATACCAACTGTGATCATATTCGGCTGAAAGGAAACCAAAGCCTGTAATATTTAATATTTTAATCATCCAAAACGAGAATAATGGTGCTCAACGAAAATAGGTACCTTTTACCATTAGTGGTTCCAAACAAAAATAGCAGGATGCCGGTGCCCGAAATACGCTAAATGCGCTTCATTCCTAACGCTTTCATTTCAAAGCCCATTTATACGTCCTTCCAATAATGTCCCCCTCCAGCATTCGTCTACTCATTTACCTATTTTCTTCGTCATTCGTCCTTTCATTCCCTGCCATTGCAGCTCACCTAATAATCCTACCGCCACTATATGTGGAGGTGGCCAACCATCCAGGCTTATATCGTACAAACACACAATTAATTGGGTTTGATAACTCGCATGTCAACAATGAGGGCACTAGCTAGCTAGCTAATTGACTTCTTTTCTATAAGTTGATTGCTGAATGGACATTAAGAAATATTGTAGCAACCGATATAAGGCATTCGCATGTGTATTTTTCGGCTATATTGAGCTACATACCTACATCATATCGAAAGCATCGTTACCGTTGTGAAAGATAACGATCTGTTTAATGAAATGATAGTAATATTGTTGTCAATTACTGTCTCAATAATTCAAAGCACGATATCGGAATGTCATATGATATCAAATTGAAATAGCTTTACTGTTTTGATTTTTAGTTGAAGAGATCGGTTGCTGTACTGATCGTCCCTATAGCCTCTGCCCTTGCACACTGACCTCCGTGTCAGGTCCGCTAGCGGCGACACCCCTCTGACCTCTGTGACCTGACCGCAGGCCAGCTGCCGGGCGCCGGCGGCGGCGATGACGACGGCGACAAAGAGAAGGAGGAGGAGGCGGAGAGAGAGCGGCTGGAGGCCATCGCTGAGGCCGAGGAGCGCCGCAAGGAGAAACACCGCAAAATGGAGGAGGAGCGCGAGCAGCTGCGCCAGGGCATCCGCGACAAGGTGGGCACCGACACAGCGCCGCGGGCGCGTAGGCGCTCAACACTGACACACGCACATATAGGTTCAGACAAAAATAAAACGGTGGGAAGAACATTGCTTTCTATAAGAAATGTGTGGGTGATATGCTCGAGTTTGTTCAGCTATCAACTTCCCGTGACACGTCCATGTGGAGCTGAATCCGCTTACACGTCGGCCTCATGGACACACGAGAAAACACAAAAGGCATTTTGATCATGGATAATAGCTGGCATTGTGATAAGCTGATCAGAAATCAATTTAATTCCTGCGTGTTGCCTACAGTGGGAATAGACCATACGGTAGACAGTATATCCGTTTTTGTGGTTGACATCACCGCTAAGCGCTAACTCAACTCTGAGTGCAGAGTTGCGCGCTGCATTGTTCTAAGTGACGATAGTGATGGCCAATAATACGTTCATTGGAACAATGTTGCCAGGTGGATGTGATAAAAAGTATTGATTGTATACGCCTTTATAATCATTTCATTTCACTAAAATGTTATCATTTATCTTATGTGCGTACCCAGCTGACGACTATTCGTCCAAATTTATTCTCCGAACTCCGTTTCCAACTTTGCTGGAACGTTTGTGACATTGAGATTAGTTGCCAAAGAAGGTCGTGCTGTCGAGATTTCCCCGCCGCCGTGGGCGAGAACTTCAGCCCTACCCAGCTCTGGCGGGCCGAATTACGGCCAACTATATGATGATAATGATCGGCGGGCACCAGCCGGCTAACCGTTACTGCAGGCCCAGAGTCAGACGCCACTCTGGACTCTGAAAATTACAGCAATAGCGCATCAACCTTCACTTTACATCGTTGCTTATCTTCAGTTCTGCAAAGAAACCCGCGAATTCTAATCGTTGGCCTCTATAAGTTGAGAAAGTGGTGACCTTAGCCGTAAAACCTGTTTCAGTCACACTAGCTGTACGAATAAAATGATAACTTTGTTTGAAGTATGATGCCGACGCCTTCAAATTGTTATAATTTGTCTTTGGAGGTATAGTGACGATGCTTTCAACCTTACCGCCGGCTCACATGTCCTTTGAGTCGTCACCCTCGATCACCCGTTCCGCACTGCATGCAATCGAGGACTGGATAGTTACCTACTGACGATTCATCAGCTCCAATGACTGAGTCAGGTAAACGTTTACAACGAATTACACGTACATCACCGTGCTCTTAACGGTGCGGCGATGTTCTCGAGCTGTGATTGGCACTAGTTGCTGTAAAGAGCGAACTCATATCATACCTGTGGATACGTCTAAAGCTAACTTCTGAGCTCCCTGCAGCTCTGAGAGGCCTGAGCGCAGTCAATATGACAGTGTGAGGGAATGCCATTGCTGTTTGAGAATGCGGTAGGTATGCTCTCATTTTGTAGACATTGTTTGCTCTGTTCGCCTTTGATCATAGTTGACAATTGCGTTAATTTAGTGGCGCAATGCAGGCCTCAGGAGCCACTGGAGTCCGGCATTGAGCCGGGTTGACTGAGGGATCTATTCAAGGTGTCGTGCTGACTGTGGCGACGGAGTGCTCTCAGGAACTAACTATATGGGACGTGTGCTAACACGGTCCCATTATGTACGACCCACTGAGCCTTCTCGCGGAGTTAGTCGGCCCAGATTCACTGAGATTCTGTTGGCTCATCCATGTGATTGTCAGGAAGTGGCGGTGATGTGTGCGAGTTTTATTGGCAAAGGGACTATTCGTTCAATTGAAGTTTGCAATACGGGGGCAGTTGAAGTGGGCTATGCATTTTTGACGAGGATACGCAACGCTGTTGTATACCTATAGGACTGGCAATGAATGGTCAAATTGGCATAACACTATACGTAAAAATACCAATTCACAGTCTATGCAAATTAAAATTGATGATTCAAACATGATAAATGTAAAAACCGTTGTTTACTGTAAGTACTGAAGTTTCAGTTCCACAGAACACTATTCTGCTGGGGTAAAATGTTTTATTAATCGATACGACATGGCTCCAGCCATCATTTATATCGTTCCATTCTAGATATGATCAAAAATGCTGAGTTACGCGCTGAGCTGCTGAGCTAAGACTGATGTCGAGATAACAGGTGGACGTCCCCTCTGTTTCAGTATAACATAAAGAAGAAGGTGGTGGAGGAGGCGGCGATGCCGGCCGAGCCCGACAACCCGCTGATGCGGAAGAAGAAGACGCCCGAGGAGCTGGCCCGCGAGGCGGAACTGGCAGACCAGGACGAGTTCACCAGTGAGTGCCGCCGACGCCGCTCTCCGGGCCGGCCGAACGGCGCGCCCGAGAGTCGCCGGGAGAGGCCCGGCTACTTCCAACTATCGCCGTCTTCCCCGAACTCTGCGCTGTACAGGGTCCCCTCTCAACTCCCTGTTTTATCTGAAGAGCATAGGAACGAGAGACCTAAACCTTTTACGTTCTTTTTTTTAATTAAAAGCTCAGCGCTACCAGATACCGAGCTAGCCTGCCAATTTAAAGGTTCGTTTCTTTTCTGACCTACCTTCAATGTCGATACTTCCCACGCGCAGACGCACAACCATTCCCGCTGCAGGTCCGGTCGCAAGAGGCCTAATATCGCTCTTGACAGGCGTGTTTACCCGTGGGACGCGTACGTCGACATCCATTCGCCCATTAGCTGAGCACCGGTGTCAATTTCCCGCGCGCGAGCGTGGCTGCGGCGGACTACACCTCTGCCCGCCAGCCGCTCCGATATTAGTGGGCCGTATGTGAGTACACACGGCATATGTGGCGCCCGCGCCGGCCGAGCCCGGGTGCAGTGGCGGGCGGCCCGTCGCAGTCCTGCCGGGGCGATCGCCCCCCGCTCGATACCGCCCCGGCCGTCGTATCCCTCCCGAAACATGACGGCCGTCCCCAGATAAACATCGGCTGCTGGTCGGCTGACCTTTCGGAAACGTCCCGGGTGCCACCGAGCGCTGTTTCCGACCGCCGGCCGTTTGGAGCCCGTTTCCTACCGCCGGCCGTTTGGAGCCCGTTTCCCCGGCCGTTGGACGGTTTGCTGGCTGACCCGGCCGGACCGGCCGCAATCAGCGCCCATTGCCCCGTCACGGACCGCTCCATATCACATCGTTATTTCGGATAACATCGGGCGAAATCGAGATGGTTCGGCGATTGGCCCGGCCACTCGGTGTTATAGTTAGTAGGTCAATTCTTCGAAATGGAACAATGAGTCGCTGCGAGTTTTATCTGTTGAACTAGTAACTAATCGCTGATGGGCTCCATAGCTTACAGCTCACAACTATGTTTTTTCCAATCGTTTCATGTTGATGCGAGTCTTAATGGCTCCCGACAGCCACGATTATCAAAACGGGTTTATGGTCCTTTGATATTCAAATTTATGTGATGAAACCGGCTTCTGTGCTAGCTCGGCCTACAATGGCGGCGGACGCGACACTATGCGACTTGATGCTGTAATTTACAAGTTCCGCACGATGGTGTCATGTCCCTCTATCTCATCATCCCTTATACATCAATATGCTGCTCCTTTACACAAGGTGCCTTTGACGGGCGATCTGTGAGAGGCTGTATTGTTACGTCCCTATCCGCGGGACCCCGTGTCATTACTTCCGTCCGTGACACACCGTGTCAGTGTTGTCGATCCGTTATAGTTCGACGCGTGGTTCACTCGCCTATCCCAGTGTCCCATCCAGTGTCGCCAATATTTTATCCGTGCTGCTAAATTATACAGCCGGGCAGATACACACAAACATGGATCACACTAGGCCAGCCCAGCATGATCTGTCCACTGGGTCCCCGCGGCCCTCCCGCTTCCGTACCGAGTATTCATGCCACGCCAACTCGGCTGTACCATGCAGTTGGAGTCCTGGCTTTCTAGTGTAGTCGAAACACTGGCTCGGCTTCCGGGATCCGATGATGAAACATTCTTAATAAAACTCAATTCAGCATTGCAATTCGCCAAAAGCAAGATTACCTGTCATTGTTTTATTGTGAAAAGGCCACTAGCGACATTGCTTAAGTACTCTTCCGGTTTCTATTGACTAATGTATCAGTAAATGTTTGAAAACGGAGCGTGTGGCCGCCGTTCAGTTACGTAACGGACACGCTGACAGCGACTGATGGCTACAGCCGCGAACCGACTGGAAACTGAACAACACCTCTGTGGTTGCAGAACTGAAAAACTCGCTGGAAACGCAAGTGAACGAAATAAAACAGCAGATCGAAGGTAAGTCGGGGACGCAGCACTGCCACACATAAAGCCTTAGAGCGCTGTGAGTTTTAGTCGTCTGCCATTTATTTTTGCAGCTTTTTGCACGCCGGTCTAGTGGCATATCTAGAGCCTTAGGCGCGTGGTGATTGTCCCGTTCGCTGTCCATGCAACTGACGCCGCCCTCGTCTCGTTCAGTCGCACGATGCAAGCGCAGAGCATCGTGAATTCAGGTGAAGGCGGCGCGCCGCATGCCGGTTCGGTGCGCGCCGTCCCCACTCTGAGAGGTAGCGTCCCGGCACCGCCGCCGCGTGTAACCGATCGGTCTGTGTTTCAGAGAAGATGAGGTCAATCCATGGTAAGTGAGGAGGCCACTCGGCGCCCCTCTCTAGCCGTTCAGTGTGACCTCACGGGCACGTCTAGTCACAGATCGTCCACGACCGCGCCCTCGGTCTGTCTCTATCTCTCTCTGCGGCGCTGTCTTCCCTCCTTCGCTGTCTCTATCTGGCTCTGTCCTTATCCAGCCGCATACAGCCTCAGTGTGGCCTCGTGTACCCTGAGAGGACTGGTGACCCCCCGTGACCCAGCGTGACCTGCTGGTGAGCTCCCAATGTTACCCGCACCGTCGGCATGACATGTAGCCGGTCGACCCCTGCTCGAGCCGTTCGGTGTGACCTGCGACCCGACAGCCGGAGTCCGGACAGCGGGCTGCTGCTGACGCTACTGTTTCCAGGGCACAGTGTGACCCGTGCAGAAACTGTCGCCTGTCACCCCTCGCTGACCTCCAGCCCACGCCTCCGGCTGACCCGATCTGTCAGCCCCACCGATGAACTGGCAAATATCTGGAGGCCCCTGGTGCTGTACCCGGCTCTGCTGGTGTGTTTTTTATTGTTGCAGCAGCCTAAGCTCTTTGGAAAAGACCTCCTCCGACCTTTCTGAGTTCTCCACAACTATTATCAATAGAACACACACACCTCTCCGAGCCGCACACCGCAACCGAGTGCTCTATCCTCCTCGCTTCATTTCTTCACTAGGTGTCACTTCATGTAGCTGCTGGATGTGGTGTGCACTGGACTGACCGGCTTATGCATTGGAACCTTCGGTTTAAACATCGGGGCTGAACTTCGCCCGGTCGGCAATCGATGTGATGGCACAGCATCCCTCCCAAGGCGTTCCGACCTCTCCCTGTGACAGCCTTTTCCGCTAAGCTGTCGCCGCCTCCCCCTGCCGTCGGTCGGCCGTCGCTGGCTCTCACTGGACTCCTGTCTCCGCAGGGAAGTGTGTTTTGCAATGAGCCGGCCCTCGAGAGCGGGACTATGCAAGCGGCCGCCCAGCTGCGGCCGACTGGCGGACCGCTGAGCTGAACTGAGCGGACCGGGCACGCCGCTGAACGGAGACCTGGCACCGGGCGTGCCCCCGCCTGCGGCCGGCGCTGCCGTGCGGCCGCGGGGAGACGCGTCGGTCCGTCCGAGCGCCGCTGCCGCCGCGCGCCGACCGCAGGCCGCCGCCGCCGCCGCCGCCGGCGCGCCGGGCCACCCGCCGTGCGCTGGTCGGCCGGGCCGTCCGCGCGCCCTCGCCGGCCGTGACTTCTGGACCCCCGCAGTGGCGGCGGCGACCCTCGGCCCTCCCCTGGGTGTGCTCTGTACGTCTGTGTGTCCCGGCACAGGGTCGCGGCCGCCCCTGTCCACGGCTGGCGGGCGGCGCCGCGGCGCGCGCCCCACCGCTGGCGGCCCCCCTCCCTGCGTCCCCTCGGTCACTGTCGCCCGCCCCCGCCCCCGCCCCGAGCGGCCGCCGGCGCGGGGCGCGCGCCGCCCTCCGACCGTCCGGCCGCCACGGCGAGTCAGCCGGCGCGGCGACACACACACGGCCGCCAGCCGAGACCGCTCCCGCTCCCGTGTCTGTGTAACAAAGGTACCAAAGTCTTAGCAACGAGTGTCGGCCGGCGGGCCGCGAACTGGACGCGCCGCCGCGGCGAGAGTAGCCTAGCGCGCGCGGCGCCGCGCCGCCGCTGGTGTACAGCGGTGGCCTGTGCAGTGGTAGCCGTAGCGCGCGCCCGGCCGGCGGTCTCAGCACCGCTCCGTAGGCCTTATCTTGTTTGGGCGCCGCCGCTATTTCGCCGGTAGGCCTGTAGCCAGGCCCGGCTTGGTTGCGCTCGCCGGCGTCCGGCAGAGCCCCCTCGCCAGGCCGTTGTAGGCATCAGGCGTTCCTTGTTATTGTGCAGACGTTTTGTTATAACAGGAATAAATCTTCGGTGAAACCTGCGCCTGTAGATATGTGGTCACTCTGTGAAACGTACTTAGCACCGACTGGAAACTAGCTACATAATTTATGGCTGTTTATTCAGTAGAAATACGTAACGAAGAATATTTAACGCTTAAGGTACATACAGACAAGTTTTTCGAGTAGTTCTGCAAATCTCCTACGGGGCAGTGAACTGGTGGGAAAGTCCACAGATCCAGAAATCTACAACAAAGATTGAGGGTATGATATTAAAAACTTTGCTAACTTGTGAAGCTCTCAGGTTGTCTTCTACATCACTGCCAGGCTCGGTGTTTACGCCACTCACGCACTTTATAAGTAGTAGCTCTAAGCTCAGATTTACTGGGGAAGTTGGTCAAGTTAGGAGATTCCATAAAATCCCTAGGGCAGCGTGGAGCTTGTCAACACAATAGCTGAATTCATTCGTTGGGGGCAATGCAGTATTCGAGGCCAACGGTTGGCCGCCTTCGCCGGGCCAGTTTTTTTTTAACAAGGTTATGGTGAATTAACAATAAAAATAGCCGGTTTGTTGTCAAGAAAGAGTTGAATTGATTTTACTTTATATTATCTTCGGCGGCGGCGACTCTCAGCAACACGTGGCGGCGACACAATCACGGCGGCAGTCAGGGCGGAACTCAACCACGAGGACGAAACGGGGGCGAAATCAACTCGGTTTATACAGCGCAATGTGAAGGATCCAGGACGGGCTACCAGACAGAGGATACTTTAAAAGTCGGAAAGGAAACTAGTATAGGCACGGGGAGGATAAAGGAAAAGGGCTCGAACACACGACAAAGGTGTTTCAACACCCTTCCCCGCCTAACTCGGCACCGGTGCTGCGTAGAGGCATGAGGTAAGCGGCGTTCGAAAGAGCGTAAACAATACGGAGAAAGCATTTCAATCATTTTTTGGTCAGGTCAAAGGTCAGCTTAACGGATTATCAGTCATCAATGGCCAGATTTCGCTTATTTCGGCATTTTTAATTCCGCGCACAATTCGGGAACGAATAGAGCTACAGCGCAGCGGAAAAGCGCTTTCGATAGCAGGTCGTTCTGGATATCATAACTATTTGAAATCTCAACGGTTTAACTTGCAGAAGGCAAAAATTGTCATAATTGACGTTTTTGCGAATTTTTTCCTGCAATGCTTTTGACTCAAAACTTGCATCACATTGATTGTTACCGACATCAAATTTCTCTTGTCGAGAAGCGTCGAATGAACTCACCTCACCTCATCTCACCTCAAAGTCTCATTTTGAACATTTGACCTAAGATCAAGGTTATGACCTGACCAGAAAAGGTCATGTTGCGCATCAGTCGATCCGTATCGTTAATTGAACACATCCAGTTGTTTTCATCGCTCTAGCATGTCGCAACCAAAAGTTATTGCATAAAAAAACTGCTGGAGACCTTCAGGTGACATGAGAAAAACGATGTGACAACCAACAGCAATATTTGAACATCGATTTTCAACGCATGTGTTTGCGATTGATGGTAAAATTACCCAATCATCATGCAGTGCGATTTTTTCTTGATAGTCATACTGAAGAACATCAGTTGACTTGCACTTGTTTGAGATTGGCATTACATGTCGTGGCATCACTCAACCATTCCAATCCCTTCCGTGTATAAATATGAAAGGAATGATAATATTCTGGCAAGTGGTGTTTATTACGGTAGAGAGCGACACACTACAATCTCCGCCAGAAGCGCTGAGAGCCGACAGGCGCCCGGAGGCGGTGAGATGGAAACACTCGAGATTCCGAGAGTTCCGAGATGAAAGGATGACGCAGCCGGCCGGAGACGATCGCGCGCCTTCAGTTCCCTCTGGTGATACGCTGCGCCCGAGTTCGCTGCCGAACACGGCGAGTGAGTCTCAAACGCAGTCTCCCTGATCTCGACATCCGCCCTCCTCTGAGCTCGACCCGCTCAGCCGTCAGCGAATCAACCTTCATCCGGAAAGTTTAGCCCCAAATAACGACACGGGCCCATATGATACAATAACAACGCTGAAAAAGTGACGAAAACTGCTGTTAGCGTCGCCCGCCCAAGGCCGGCGGGACGGCTGCGGCGAGCTGCCGCCGCTCTCCATAGATGGCGCCAGCGGCGAGCGCCTGGGAAGTAGACTGCACCGCACAGCCGGGAGACTGCGGCAGCGTCCGCCGCATAGCACTCAGCGTCCGCGATTTAGCTAAACCCCGTGACCACGGTTAGCAACCCTGAGGTACAGTCCACAGCAGAAGTAATGTGGGGTTTCAGTCATGGGTATGTTCTGCTTCTGAAGCTTAGGAACGATTAGCCAGACTACAATGAAACTGAATGTAGCTTATATGTATCGTCACCCTTGCAGCTGCAACTTTAGCTATTGACATCTTCTTTTCGAGCACTCCGCAAAACAATCGCCAGTCAAAACCAACCGTTGAGATTGGTAAAACCCTACATTTCTTTAGCGGTGGGCTGTACGTGACAGGAATAATCTGATACCAATTCAGCCAAGAACTGTGATGTATATTATATGGTTCAGCGTACTTAATGTGTGGCATGGAGGCCTTCAAGATCCGCTAGCTCTCCTGCTGACATTTGAGGGAGCCCATTACTTAAATGGCGCACATACACGCTAGTAGACCCTGTTTCCTAAGTACCATACGGTCGAGAAATATCGTACCTTCAAATGTATTGTTGCCTTGGAACCTCCTCACAAAATGGCTGAAGCTATTTTAGCAGCTAACTGCTACCGAGCAAAACATGTTGCCGGACAGCCTAGAAACAGTTGCTGAAAAGGACCTAAGACTGTAAGTCCTCGTCTTTAACCTAACCCAAAGCCAGGCTTCCCCTCAATGCGAGTCCGGTCAGTGACTTGCTGCTGACCCGGACGCTGTCAGTAAAAACCACTGCGTCCGGTTCGGCCACGGAACGGTAACTCCAACGGCAGATTGCGAATTCGTCCAGTTCTCTAAGTCCCTACATAGCAAACATGCCTTCGCCTTTCATCCCCTCCCTCGTTCAAGGCACGTTTCGTTTCCAGCCAGTCAGGAGCAAACAGAGCCGTCACAGGCGATCAGATGTGTATTCAAACGGTCAGACCCCTCCCCAGCAGCGGGCGCCGCGCTCCGCCCGGCCGCGCCGTCACGACTTGACCTTGCTCGTGGACGGGCCGTCGTACTCGTACTCGATCTCCACCCGGGGCCGCTTGGTCCGCGAGGGAGCCGGCCGCGCCGCCGCCGCCGCCGCCGCCGACTCCGTGTCGCTGTCCGACGAGTCAGCGCCGTAGTCCTGCCACAAGTTCAGCACACCAGGTCAGGTCATGGCCAGGGTCACTACAGCACGCACAGTCAATGCCGGCCACTGAGAGCCTAACGAGGAAAAACGAGTTTCATTAAATTTCAATTTGAATCCTGGCAAGGACTACTGAACTATAGGACTTTTGGCTGGGGTAAAATACGCAGATAGCAAATAAAGCGAGACCCGAGAGTGAAAAACAGAATGAGAGAGAGAGAGAGAGAGAGAGAGAGAGAGAGAGAGAGAGAGAGAGAGAGAGAGAGAGAGAGAGAGAGAGAGAGAGAGAGAGAGAGAGAGAGAGAGAGAGAGAGAGAGAGTGAGAAGAGAGGGAGAGAGTGAGAAAGAGAGAGAGAGAGAGAGAGAGAGAGAGAGAGAGAGAGAGAGAGAGAGAGAGAGAGAGAGAGAGAGAGAGAGAGAGAGAGAGAGAGAGAGAGTGAGAAGAGAGGAGAGAGTGAGAAGAGAGAGAGAGAGAGAGAGAGAGAGAGAGAGAGAGAGAGAGAGAGAGAGAGAGAGAGAGAGAGAGAGAGAGAGAGAGAGAGAGAGAGAGAGAGAGAGAGAGAGAGAGAGGAGAGAGAGAGAGAGAGAGCCTGACTCGAAGGCACTCCGGAAGAGAGCCGTTTTTTTCCGGACTGGCTCCGCCATAATGAGGACGCCGAATGCGCGGCGAATCCCCTCATCAGCACCCAGATGAGTTTGCACAAACGCAGCCGCGCCGCGTCTAAGGCGACTGAGCCCCGGCCCGGCTGGGGTGGGGTGGGGTGGGGTGGGGGTGGGGGCAGGGGGCAGACTGCTGCCAGTCAGTCACGCAGACTGCCGTGCAGACGGCCATTACCTAATCCAGCCCAGCGGAAAACGCAGACACAAATTGACCGTGTAATCTCCGCCTAATACCGCGTAAGCCGGGGCGTCAAAGCCACCGGCTGCTACACAAAAGCCCACATGTATCTAATCATGTTCGTTATCTGTTAAAAGCTGACTGACTGAAACACTGGCACGACTCATGCAGCGTCGTATGAACAACAGTAACATTACGTATTACTTTCTTGAAACATCGCCACTGCGTCCTTTGTTGGCTATTTCATGTACGCCCGTCACGATTGCAATACAATAACCAAATTCTGATTGTGCTGCATTGCCAATATCACAGAACGCAGGGGGCCGCGTCAGAGAGCTTCCGACTTTATGCAGTGGTGACCGCAGTCATGAAACTTTCAGAGGAGCCAAGCTAAAGCATGTGATGCATATGGTCATGCATATGGCATAGCACATCAAACCATTTGCTATTGCATTATGCTAAAGAGACCTTTGAAGTGTCATGTTCCTCAAACCGGCGAGTGAGCCAGCTCTGGTAGCCGTTCAGGAAAGAGACAGGTGGGGCAAGCGAATTTAATGCTGATTCGCCAGTAACGCGATGGGCCGGCATTTCAATATGGGAGCGAATCCCACCACACTGGTGCGGAGTGTCTACGGCAGAGCTCCTCCTTACGACACACAGCACTGCTACAACGTGTACTGGAGACGGTGCGGGACATCTATGGGAGAGCCCCAACACGAAACATAACACTGGTATCAGACCTGTCTGGAGACGGTCCCACATCACCAGTATGAGGTGACGGGGAGGGTCCCCAAGGCATACGGTGCTGGTATAAGATAGCGTGAGAGAGCCCACCAAATCTGTAAGTAGACGGTAATTCACGGCACCGAGGACTCATCAGAGCTGTCTGTTAGTTGCCGCGACACCCAGTACAGGTGTGAGACGTTCTAGAGCCGCGTGCTGCCAGTCTCACAGCCCCGCACTGGTGTGCTGTGCCCGGAGTCGCGGACAGCGGCGACGACGACCCGTGGGCGGGTGACGGCGCGACAGAATCTCACGACAGAGACGGCCGGTCGGCGCGGCGCCGCTGAACTGAGCCAATGCATACTGAAGTAGCCGCGGGCCAGCCGCCGCCGCCGCCGGCCGGTCAGTCAGTCAGGGCCCGGTCTGACCGGCTCCACCCTTAGACAGAGTCTGTCCGGCCAGTCTGGTTTGACCGGCGCCACCCTTAGACAGAGTCTGTCCGGCCGGTCTGGTCTGGGCGCCTTCAAAGTCTGTGCGGGCTGGTCTTCGTCCGACCGATATCAGTGAATAAGTTTACTACTAAAATTAATGCCATTCTTTTAGCTCCCACTACTCCCAAGAGCAATGCATCACTTTGTCATAATGGCTTATCAGGTGCTTGAGACGCGTTCCTACGATACAAGTCACCTAGTGATATGTCTCAAGAGACCCAAACCATGTGTCAGCTATAAAGACAAATGGAAAAGGTCCTCACTTCTTTGTCTTCTTCACCAAAAGACAAAAAGACGAATAAAACAATATTCACCTTTTAGCCCACACCACCACCACCTGTGCTGATCCCACGAGCCTCCCACGAATACGACAGAATTATGGACTACACACAACGACGGTGTCGCACATGGCACAAGGGTCGAATGCCGATAAAACATTCGGCCGCGCCCGTGACGCGGGGGGCTCTACCGCGCGCCGGTTCGAACAATCGACAGACGCCGTGCAGCGACCGCCCACCTATTGTCCGGCCCGCCACTGACGTCAATGAAAATTAGTGCACAGCACCATAACCATTCCAGCCCGTATAGCTGCTAACTGAGAACGATTCGCCGAGCCCGTGTCGGGTGCCATTCCTCGGACTGAAGCGCGCGGGCCGCGGCTGCTTTGGAAGGCGACCCGGCTCGGCGCGGCGGCTGAACCCCCAATCGAAGCCGCGGCCGCCTCCGGTCGAAGCCGCCGGCGGTCGATAGCGCGGCTAATTGGGCGGCTGGCCGCACTACGGCTTCGGAGGCCGGCACTGGCGCCGGTCCGTCCTCCCACCCCTGATTTTCTCGGTGACTGAGTGACACTGCCCTGCGGTCCCCGCCACAGCCAGCGGACCCTCACCGAGCGAGGTCCAACGGTCACTGCACGGCTGATGGAGAACTCAGCCGTCAGCCGGTCACCGCACAGCTGATAGGAATCAGAACCTGACCACCGACCGGTCACAGTTCAACTTAAAGACAACCCGACAGTCTGTTTAACACAGTCCACAGCACACAATGGGGCCAGACCGCCATCTGCGGACCGCTCAGCCGCTGTCCGGCCCCCCGGGACAGATCAACTGCTGTCCGGCTACCCGGGAAAGGTCAGACGCTGTCCGGGACAGGTCAGACGCTGTCCGGCCAGCGCCGCCACCGCCGCACCTGGCGCTAACACCCGTCCTCCCTCCCCTGCCCTCGCACTTCTGAGGCTGCCGCGCCAACAGGGCACCGGATCGACAGGAACTCTCCGAAGACCGGCGACTTCCCCTGGCTCGCCTGAGCCGCGCGCGTGACTCGGTCAAACCATCCGCCTACAAATCGATACCCGGCTGAGCCAACAGCAGCCGCCGTACGTCAATTTCAACATGATCTTCAACGGCCAGCGTCCGGTAAACACTATCGGTTGTCATGGCAACAGGCGGGGGTTTGAGCGTGCTTTTATCTGCTGACCAAAGAGCCGCATGAGCCTGGATGATCTGACCCAGGATTAGCGAGAGAGAGAGAGGGAGGGAGGGAGAGAGAGGGAGAGAGAGGGAGAGAGAGAGAGAGAGAGAGAGAGAGAGAGAGAGAGAGAGAGAGAGAGAGAGAGAGAGAGAGAGAGAGAGAGAGAGAGAGAGAGAGAGAGAGAGAGAGAGAGGAGAGAGAGAGAGAGAGAGAGAGAGAGAGAGAGAGAGAGAGAGAGAGATAGAGAGGGAGGGCGGAAGAGAAAGAACAAGAGGGATGATTGTAACCGAATAACAATTGGAAACATTGTTCCATATGTTGTGTGTCATCATTACGTAACAGTGACCGTAAGCTGTGAAACCGTAAGCTGCGGTATGTATACGCTCGCCAGTCGTCACTGGACGCCACTGGACGCTCGCCGGTCGCCACTGGACGCCCGCCGGTGGCCACTGGACGCTCGCCGGGCGGCTCTGGACGACTCTATGCGCGCGGCGCGGACGGGCGGACGGCGCCCACGGCTCCCATCTCCGGCGCGGCCGTTTGATCCGGCTCAAATGGCTCGGCCGGCAGCGCCGCCGTCGTACAAAACAAAAGATAAGGCGCAGCGTTCCCGCCGACTTCATACCGACCAAAGAGCAGCGTCTCATCTCACCGCGCGGCGAGAATACGACTCCGCAGCGCGGCTCGTGAATGTGCCGCAAACTGGCGGGCATCAACAGGAAATGACAAGCTACGACGTTTGGCCAGATCGAGTCGCACTGTAGTCACGGAAAGCAGAAACATTTACTGCTTATCATTTGTGGTTAGTGCGTTGCATTTACCACCACAAAGCTTATGAACGAAAAACGTCAGCCACTGCAGAGACCCAAATCGGCTTTGTCTATCAGAATAATCCTAGCCAGCAGCAAAGGTGGATAAATACATAGTCCACGAAGTAAAGCTCGGCCTTGCGGTGGCCGCCGTCGCTGCAGCTGCTAAGTAAGAGAGCGCAGCTGCGAAACTTCGCCGCTTGGCAACGACGGCTTTCAACCTAATTCGAGCGCATATATTTTCGCCAGTGATGCCATACCGCAGCGTTTTGTGTAGCCAGCGAATGACTTACACATAGGCCATCCAACTGAAATATCGCAGCACATCCATGAAATTCCCAGTTCACGTTCCTCCGCGTCTTGAAGAGACGCACCATGGCACAGACTTGCAGCCAGCCGCGCGCCGGCCCGGGCCAGCCTCGGGACCGGGGCCTCGTCCGGTGGGAGAACCCTCGGGGTCCAGCGGTATGCGGCTTTCACTCATGCAGTGGTTGGCTTCCAGTCGAGCTCCACCTGACCCAGTCCGCCCCCAGGACGGCACCCGGTCCCCCCGGGACGGCACCCGGTCCCGTCGGGACGGCACCCGGTCCGCCCCAGGACGGCACCCAGTCCCCCCAGGACGGCACCCAGTCCCCCCGGGACGACACCACGACCCGTCGGCGCTAGACT